TTCACAAGCCTTGCACCCTGTCCAACAGTAAGTGGCCAGGAGAGAGGAGAGGGACTGGTCCTTTTCACCTGGAGCCAACTTTTGTTTCAAACTGTTCTGTGAAACAGTGGTTTGGTTAAGGATAAAAGAATTCACATGTACTTTATCAAATACATCCTTCTGTCTCAGCTCTCTGTTCCCATTGATGGCAAGAGAATTGTATCCACAGTCATATATGTACAGATTACAAATAATTTATCAACTTACGATCTTGTCCATTCTTTTACAGGATGTCTGCTGAAGGCAATAGCAGAGCTGAAAGCCTATGTTGAATGGGTGATGTATGAAAAGGGCTCATGGTGGTGAGTTAGGTTGGAGTACAGCTCCCAGAAAAGGGAAACAGATTTTCAGCATCTCTGTGCTATTGTTTAGATAATGTGTTTTACTCAAGTTTTGATAAAACTATTATTAATAAAAAATAGCCCAAGTCTTACCACATCATGGAAACTACTTGGTGGGTGCAATACAATTTGCAAAAGTAGGTAAATTCTAATGCATAGTTTCTTTGGATAGTTTTGTGCTCTGTTTTGAGAAACCTTCAGGAATTTAATCTACAGACTTTGTTCTTTTATCCTAATACTTGGCCCTTCCAGAATTTCTTCTGGCTGAGGAATTAAAAGCTTTTTGCAGGCTTTGTAGGAGTTTTCTTTTTCAAGACACAGGCCTTGTGAGAACAGGGTGGGAAGTGCTCTGCAGGATGAGTGCTAGAAGGCCCTCAGTGTACCTGGACATTCCTCACCTGGGTTTCCTGCCCCTTCAGCTGCCAGCAATAGCAGGGGATAGAAATTCCTTTGGGATGTGGCAACTCTGTCCCAAAGAAAGGAGTTATATTTTACAGAAACATCATCCAGGGTGGATTTTCTCTTCATTTAGTGTTGAAATGATTGTGCTCACAGGTAAGCCATGCTGAGCTCAGCTGTGTGGCCCCAAATGGAGTCTGGCCCACAGTTTGGAGCTGCTGTCTTTGCACTAGGGTGGGAGGGCAGACAGCTGATTTCAGTGTGGTGCTGCCTGTGAGGTGTCTAAACAAGAAGTGGCTGTTGGATAAAACTAAGCAACTTTTTCCTAGTTATTCTTTATACAAAGTTGAATATTACCCAGTAGCTAGTTGTGTGGCTGGTTAGAAACTGAAGGCTAATTTCTGGGCAGCACTGAGCTGCCTTTCAGTGGAAAAGAGAGGAGAGGGAGCTGTGTGAGCAGCAGGGCCTGTGTGCTAGTTCTCAGGGTCAGGAACAGGCTGGAGCAGGCAAACAGGTACCCAGCCAGCTCCACGAGGAGAGTTAGCCTCAGCTTGCTAGGCCTGAATTAAATCAGCATTAACAGAGCATGAGGAAAAGGAAGGTTTCACCCAGGAATAAACTATGAATCTAGTTAATAGGCAGGGAATACAGAAATTTCTCACTGAGGAAATGAACAGGGATTTAAAGGAAGCAACTGGTTTGAGTTTTTTGATGTTTTTTTTAAAGTCTTGATAATATTCCTGGACAAATGTATTCTGTATACAAAACTGATTAAAGGAGTATTGTAAATACAAAGAATGCTTGAAAAAGCACAATATTCAAAATTTCTGGCTTCTTATTTCAAAGCATAGATACATATATAATTACTATATAGAAACTGTATAGAAATCCTATTCTTGTACATTATTATTTAATACTCCAGTGTACATGCAAAGTTCTCTTCTTCCCATGTGGTATTTCTAATCCTTTTTTCAGATACACCTCCCTCATTTTCTTTGCAAATTTTTCAACATGTTTCTACTTTTGCGCTGTGGCCATTAATTAAAATATTAAAGACAGAATATTCAATAATCTGTGAGAAACTTTCCTCTTCATCTCCTTCCTGTGAGGTAGCTTCCCTGAAAGCATAAACTCCTCAGCATTTCTCCTTTAATCAGCTTCTTACCTTGAAATGCTTCTACTGTATCATCTTTTGTGAATAATAAAAAAACTTTTTTTTTTTTTTATCCTCCATGTTAACTGCATCAAAATGGTTTGAGTTCTGACAAATTACTGCACATTCTCCTTTCTCTGATACTTCTCTGCATCTTGGTAATTTACTCAAATCTTTCATCTGGATTTTGATTTTCATGTTGAAGGTATTGGTTCTTTTCTTTAAATTCAGTTATTTTCTTCCAGTGCTGTCACCCTGTTAGTTTTTCTGTTTTGTCTACATTTAATATCCTCCTTGCCAAAAGAAAATTAAATGAGGTCAAAAAATGACTTGGTTTCTAGGTCAAACTGTATTTTGTCTCATGACAGTGTGGTACATGTGCCTCTTACTTGTTGGAAGAGTTTTTACTGCTATACTTTGCTTCATGAGGTTTGATTCATCCTGACCCATCTCTCCCCATTTCTATTCTGTCATCTCTGATTTTTCTTCTTTGCTTTCTTTCCTTTTTAATTCCATACTGGAATGTTTATCCCTTTATGTTTTTTAATGTAATTTCTGAACAGTTTTTTTTACTTAATTTCGATTATTTTCTGCTTCGAAAAGCTGTTGCTGCTCCAAGTGGTTCCTTTAATATCTCAGAGTTTGCTCTCCCGTATCTTTCCCATTCGTGAGGACCTTTCTCTTCCTACAGTAAGACTGGTTTCTTTAAGGTACTTTGATAGCAAATTGTGTCACATGCTTCCTGGAAATCAATATCAATTGGATCTCCTTGGTCCATATAATTCTGTTTGACTTTTTCAGAAATGCTAAAACAGTTGAGGCATAAGCTTCAAAAGGTGTACTGACTCTTCCTTGTTATGTCACATTGAACAGTGTTAATTCTGTTATTATGAAGGTTAATGTAGTAGAAATTCAGTGAAAAACTCAATCTAAGCTATACATAGGTCCCCAGCTCCTCCTAAAACCTTAAAAAGCATTGGGTTTGCTACTTCCTTCAGTTCAAAGGAGCTCTATAAGAATCATAGAATTTAAGGGTTAGAATGGACCTTACAGATCATCTAGTCCCAATCCCCCCTGCCATGGGTAGGGACACCTCCCCAATCGACCAGGATGCTCAAGGCCTCATCCAGCCTGGCTTTGAACACTGCCAGGGTTGGGGCAGCCACCACTTCCCTGGGCAACCTGTGCCACTGTCTCACCACCCTCACAGGAAGAACATTTTTTCTAATATGTAACCTAAACTTCCCCTCCATCAGTTTGAACCTGTTACCCCTTGTCCTGACACAGTTTCTAACTGCTCTGGCTCCTTGTAGGCCCTTTAGATATTGAGAAGTTGCTATGAGGTCTCCATGCAGTCTTCTCTTCACCAGGCCCAACTTCCTCAGCCTGTCTTTATTAGGGGAGATGCTCCAATCCTCTTATCAACTTTGTGGCCTGCTCTGGACTTGCTCCAACAGTTCCATGTCCTTCTGGTGTTGAGGACACCAGAACTGCACACAGTATTCCAGTTGGGGTCTCACAAGAGCAGAGTAGAGTGGGAGAATCACCTCTTTTGACCTGCTAACACAGTGAGAGGAAAATCTTCCCCTTTTTTTTTTTGGCCAAAGCCAAGGAATCATCAGGCACGAGGGATGTCTGTGGCTCTGCATGACATGCCTAACACAGCAGAGCCGAGATGAAACTGGTGTAACTGGAGGAGCCACCACAGATGCCCAGTTGCTTTGGCTTCAGGGACCTGCAGCCACTTGTGTTGTGACAAATACTCTGTTTACAAAACTAATCAAGAGTGAATCAAATAAGCAATAAGCAAGGTCATTGAAATTAAAGAAGAGATCACAGTCATGATTAAAAGTTGAAGACTAAAAGCAGAATACAGGTTTATTGAAGAATGCTGTGAAATAGAGAATATAGGATTGTTTGGAATTGCTCTGGTTTGTGTAGGCAGCCAGGGACACCTCAACAAGAAGTTACGTATGTTTTGCTATGGCTGCTTGGAAACCCTCTCTACCTGTCCCATCTTGGTCTGGGATTTCAATTAACTACCAATGATCACCTTAAAATAAAGTTATGTAAGTAATAGGACCAATTACTGTAAAGGTTAAATCAAAGAATGGACTTACACAACAAGAGGGTATATAAACTGTAGGAATTTATTGTCAGGGGAACATGTTTGGAGGAGGATCCCTCATGTTCCCAGCACTGAATAAAGAGAAATATCTGCTTATTCACAACAAATTGGGGTTGCATAAGTTTATTTATATTAAAGTTTCTTATAAGCTTCTTAATATTAAAATATTAATATTTTTAGTCTCACCCTTGAGTACAACCTGTGGGGCTCTCAGGTGTCACAGAGAAAACCGTGATTCTCCTTGTGAATTAAAGATTCATATTTTCAGGAATATTTGATTTCAGTTTAAACTAAGTTTCTAGTTTCTGTTAGTTGTTTGTGGTCTGGTATCACTGGATGTGCTCTTTCCCAACACTGTGCATGACAGGTTAGCAACAAAGCCAAGAAATAACAGGAGAAGGTACTATTCACATAAAGAAAGGAAACCAAACCCAAAACATTTTGTCATTCTTTGTTGTCCTGAGTAGCCAGTGGGTGGTAAGAAGAGGTACCTAAAACATTTCTTTCTGTAGTTTGACTTAACTAGTTACCTGAGGTAATAAGATTATCCCTTTACAGGGATATAATGGCAATTACTGCTCCAAAATCTCACCTGGCTTTGCCAGCATGTAGGAAGGAGAGCTGGACATGAGAGCCTCAGTGCTTACACAGCATACAAGATGTTATTGTTAAACAATGGTTGCAGTTCATTTCATGAACAGAGCTGCACTAATGTCACAAAAAATCTAGATAAAGATCAGTATAAAAGTAAATTATTTTCTTGGTAGAAACTAGCAACTTGAACTTTCTTACTGGAAAACAGACAAAATTTCTGCATTTTTTTTTAAGCTAAGAGGTAAAAATTCACAGAATTTTCTATCACTAGTAAATTACCAAGTTTTGCTTTGGTATATGTGTCATTGTCAGCATGGAATAGGTTCCTGAGCCCCAGGCCAGTCTATCAGTCATCTTCCTCATCACTGGGTTTCTCTTCTGAATCATCACTTTCATACTCCTCATCCTCATAGTTGAAGTCACCCTCAGCTTCAGGGTCATACTGACCTTCCTCTCCATGCTCCTGGGACTGATCAGACTGGGAGCTGGGTCTTGACTGCTTATCTTCCTCCTCCTGGGAATGGCCAAGTGACAAGTCTGCCTTTGCTTTCTCCTCCTCCTCTTCCTCCTGGGACTGGCCAAGTGACAGGCCTGCCTTTGCTTCCTCTTCCTCCTCCTCCTCATCCCCTTCACTGTGCTGGCTGGAGAGTGGGCTGGAACCAGACTCCCCTGCATGGCAAGGCTGATGAGCATAAGGGCTACCTCTTGCCTCTTCCTCATCCTCCAGCTCACTGAACTGGTCATCCCAGGTGGAGGTTTTGACACCTTTGCCCTTCTCTTCCTCTTCCTCCCAGGACTGCTCAGGCTGAGGACTGCTGTCAGCTGCTTCCTCCAAGGATTCCATTTCCTTCATTCTAACCTTGACGACTCTAGAAAGACAATTTGCATGCATGATTTTATTTTCTGGGAAGATGGCTGTAAACTACCTTCATGTGATCTAGGACAAATCATGGTAAACTTGGCTAGGATGGAACTGGGAAAGGAAAAGGGAAGGGGGGACACTAGAAGAGTCTCCTTTTATGCCAGAAAGTAACTCAACAGTATTGCTTATATATTCTAATTTTATTTCTGCTTCCTTTTAAATCATAATGCCTAATGGATATTGAAAAATATTTTTGCAAGGCTTATTTTAAAAATTCAGTCAAGGTAATGCAGAATGAAGTGACTTGCTGGCAACCTGCCACAGCTTTTGGTGAGAGGAACAAATAAAAAATGGTTTTCTTCACTTTCCTTTGAAGTGCATCACATAACCAGTGATAAAATACATACAAACCAATAAAAATACATACTAATGCTAATTTAGTAAAGGAAACCACATGGTCAAATGCTTACCTGGGAAATACTACAAATAATTTTAAAAGAAACCCAAATCTACATCCACAAAATTACTTTCTAATTACTAGACAGGTAGTGGGTAGAAAAAACAAAGCCTTCAGTCTCTACCTTTTTGTGGCATTAGTGGAGTTAAAATCTTCAGGACTGTAGCACTGTAGCAACTGAGTTGTTTGTCCTTTCTTTGAAACAAACTCTGGGCATATCCCCAGTGCTCTCAGTATTTTAGAATAATGCTTTTCTG